TTTTCATTATTTGATACTCGGTTCGTCGGCGCGAGTCGCGTCCTGGCGGCCCGATGCCGACCAATGGCGCGCCGAGCCGAAACACGACACTGTACGTCCATTAGCCAGCCAGGCACCCTCAGTCTGCCTCAGCCCGCCTCAGCGGGGCGCGGTGGGGTGCGGTGGGGTGCGGTGGCGGCCTGGGGCGGCGGGTGTCGTCGGTGTCGTCACCCAGATTGCTCCATTCGCGTCCTCCTCGCCGTCCTCCCTCATCGCCATCGCCACGACGCGGCGTGTCATCGGCAAAAAATGGCTCGGCGGACGTGCCGCCTCCCGCCCGACACCTTCCCGAACGACACCGCAGCGCTGCGACGCGGCGTGGGCGGCGGCACCCCGCGTGCCCGCGTCCTCCAAACCCTTTATGGGTCCCGGTGCCCGGCGGTGACCCGGCCGTGACTTCCACCACACGTAAAGCACATCCTCCGCCAGCCCACCTGGCCCACTGTGCGGCCCGCGCACTCCGAACCATCTCCCTCGCACTCGCGGGCGTGCCGTCAAGGCGCGAGAGAGACAGAGCGCCGTTCGGCATCGGCCTGCTGGCCCCGGCTGGCCCACCCACCCGCTGAACCGATGGCCCGCGTCTTCCGCGGCCGCCCGGCCGACCGCGCCGCCAAGGTCGAGGCCTCCTTTGTCCTGGGCGGACTCGGCGACGACCAGCTCGCGGCAGCGGGGCCCTTCGACGGCCAGCTTGTGAGGAACCCGTCCGCCACCTCCACATGCTTGGGCCCCACGCCGAAGCAGAATTCGGCACTGCACTGCTGGCCTTTCGCCGAGGAGGGGCCGGAGAGGGGAGGGGGGGGACTCCAGGCTCCGGGTGCGCAACACCGCGGAGGGGGCAGAAAAAGGGTGGCCGACGAAATGCAGAGAGAAGGGAGGCGAGAGGAGCAAGAAGGGACAAGAGGAGAGCCACAGCCAGGCAGGCAGCCAGGCAGGCAGCCAGGCAGGCAGCCGGCGGTCCGCATCGCCTCACCCGGGCCAGCGCCGGACCGCCAGGGACCGCCAGGGACTCCCCGCCCCGCCGCGCCGCGCCCCGCGGGGTCTGACGCGAGGAGAGGCGAGCTGTGCGATGGCTGAGGCGAGGCGAGCCCGGCCCGGCAGTGCGGCGTTGCCACTCTGTGCGTTGCCTGCGCCCAGAGAGTGGGAGGGGAGGGGAAGGGAGGCGAGGGGAGGGGCCCGAGGGGGCCATGCGGCGCGGCACGGCGCGGCGGAACTCAACGCTGGCGGCCTCCGTCTCTCTCTCGCTCGCCGCGGCCGCGACTTGCCGTCTTGGCGCATCGCGTCCTCGACGCCGTGCTTGCCGCCGTGCCGGCTGCCTCGATGGTCGGCCTATCCGCCAACGCCCCCGCTCACACATCGCGGCCAATTGTAACAATTCCACCCCCCTGACCGCGGAGCCGCGCCGCCCTGCGAGGCGAGGCGCTACGAGACACCCCGCCGGCGTTGCCAAGTGTACAGTGTAGGCCAGGCCCAGGGCTTCGCATGCTTCGGCGAGAACCAAAGCAGCCGGCCCGGCCGGCTCCACGACGGCCAGGTGTTGCGGCACGGGGACCAGGCCGGACCCGACCCCTACGTGGCCGGCGTGGCCGACGGGATCCTGGGCAACCATTTCCAACAGGGTATGCCACGCCGCGCCGCCGCGAGCGTCCGCCGCCAGTGTGCCAGTCAGCCAGCACTGTGCCATGGCTGTGCCATGCCGGCCGAGGCGACGGCAACCGCGCCGACCAGCCACGACCGCGCCCGCCGCCGCCATCCCCCGCCGCGCCGCGACGCGCCGGAGTCCACGCCGCCGAGCCTCGACGAGCCTAACCCGTCCGTCCTGGGTCCCCGCAGGTCCCCGGGACTCGCCACGCCGCCACGCCCACGCGCTGCTTCCTTCCGCCACACGGCGTGCCAGCCACACGCGGTCCAGGACGTCCAGGACCGCTTACGCGCCGCGCCAATCCACTCCACCGGGACACAAAGGCCCGCGTCACGCTCGGACGGCCGCGGGTTCGAGTCCCGGCGCCGCCGTCCGCCATTGTCACTCGCACAACCCACTCGGGCTAAATTGCGTGCGCCGTGCGCCGCCTTTAATTCACTCCGGAGGGCCTGAGCCAGCTCAAGCACTCGGCAGGCCGACGCAGGCGACGCCCCTCCGTCCGGACTCCGTCGCATTCCCTCCGATTTCCGCGATATCACTCTCAATTACAGCCCTTCCCTCGGTGCCCCTCGGCCCTGCGGACGCCCTGCCGACGCCCTGCCGACGCCCCACGGCCCCACGGGGTTCGCGGCCCTCCCACCCTCGCAAACACGCCCCGCCACGCCACGCCACGCCGGCCAGGAAGGAAACACAAAAAAGTCACCGGCATTTCGATTCTCCGCCGCCGCTCCACTCATTACGGGCAAAATAAATTAGGGCGAAAAAGAGTGAGCACGCGCGCGCCCTTCACTGAAGTTGCTGCAGTGGGGTTGCGGGGGGACATACAGTGCCGTGCCGGCCGTGCCCCCAGGTGCGGGGGACGGGTTGGCCGACGGCCTCCAAGTTCAGTCCCCCCAGGGCGCCGCCCCCACCCCCGGCACCCCCGGCCGTAGACCTAGCGCCACGCCGTAGCCACCGCCCGGGGCACAGCCAGCACAGCCAGCCCGGGGCCGCAAGGTAGGGACAGTAGCCGGCAGAATCAATGTCGGTGCGGCCCAGGGCAGCACAGGGCGTCATCGGGGAGGGGCGGGCCGGGGTCACCCAGGTCGGCGCTAACAAGCAGGGCCTACGCCACTTGGGCCACGAGGCCGGCAGGTTGCGCCCGCCGGCCGCTGCGTCGCCGGCCGCCACGGCGTCCTGGAGACTGGAGAGCCTCGCCGACGAGGAGATTGCGCGAGCCGCGAGCCCCGCGGCCGTCAGGTGGGACGCGCGTGCTGCTGGCAGACTCCAAGCCGTGGCCCTCTCTCTCTCGCACCCCTCCGGAGCGCACCTGCAGTGCGAGAGAGACCGCGCGCTGTTCGGATGGAGCCTCCCGGCGGAGGAAAGGTCAGAGAGCAGAAGGAAAGTAGTGAGCTAACGAAGGCCCGTGTGGGTGCCCGTCGTGCGCAGGCATCTAGCCGAGAGAAAACGCCAAAACGGGGGACCGTGCCCAAGTGTCGTGGGCTCTGTCGCACTCAAGGCGCACTCCGCAAGGGCGCGAGAGAGAACGGTCGACTACTTTGAGCAGCGCGTCGCTCCGCCACCCACGAGCTGGACCACACCTTCACCCGGGGCGTATGTCCGTGTCTCCCCGGCGGGCTTACGGCCGGCCCCCGTTCCTCCACGTCCTTACGAGGCACTCAGATGGAGTCCTCCGTGACCGGAAGCGGGGCCTTTGGGCTCCGCGAGTCCTGCGAGCACGACGAGCCAGCCAGCATCCAGCAGGTACGCAACCAACGTGTTGGCGACGGCCGCGACGCGGCGCTGCAGCAGAATGCTGATTTCTCGTCTCTCTCTCTCTCTCTCGCGCGCGCCGCCGAGGCCCTGGAGTGCGAGGAGAGAGAGAGAGATGCCGGCCGGGCGCGCCGCGGTGCAGGACTGCAGGGCTGCCAGATTGGGCGCCGGGAAATACCGCGGCAATGCGATGCGCCTCGCGCGGCTCGCGTAGCGCCCCGCGTGCATGCCCAATGGAACAGTGTAGCGGCGGCCACGGCCAGGGCCCCAATTCGTTTCAGGGCCGCCACTGGGGCCGCGCGGCCGTGGGTTCGAACACCTGTAGGCCCATTTCGAACAGCCTCCACGAGTGCGAGAGAGACAGCGGCGGAAGCCCTTCCCTGCACCACGCCGCTGCACTGCAGCACCGCGACAACACGCGCACGTTAGCGCGGTCACGGGACGCAGCGCCAGCGCGCCAGCGCCTCGCCGACGTCGCGTCACTGTAATAAACGTGGGCGTACGGAGGCGGCGCCGTGCGCGGTCCCACCGCTGTCAAAGCCGCCTCGCCTCGCCTCGCCTCGGCCCGGACGAGGCGACAGAGGAGCTCCCCAACAATACAATACCACTCAGGGCTGCTCGGGGCCCCGAGTGTCATTGTCGCCGTTGTTTCGGCCGGGGCGCGGCGTGCAATCAGACTTGGCGGCAGCGTTACCGATAAGCCCGACGCGGTGCGCGCGGCGGTGCAAGTGTCAACCCGCCCACGCCCCCGACGCGACCAACACGTGGACGCGGGCCGCGGAGACACTTTTATTTTAGACGGCGGCAACGCGCTGGCCCCGCGGCCTACCCGCGGCCCGCGGCGCGCCCACTGCCGCCGGCAATCAGAACGACCAAGACACTTTATTTTTAGTGGGAAACGGAACGAGGGCGGCGGCGACGACGGACATCGACGCCCTGCTGCCCGACCCGCTGCGCTGCCACGCCGTGCCGTGTTGCCCGGCCCGCCCGGCCCTTGATCACTCTTATGGATTGACGGAGCCGAAACGCATCGCGGCCGGCAGACGCCAGAGCTAACACCGCCAAGTACACGCGCATGGCGCAGCGTGGCGCGGCGTGGCCGGGCCCACTGAGGCCCCTGTCTGGCCGGTGCGATAAGCGGGCTCTTGATAAGGATATCGGCACGCTGATGGTGATAGCACGTTACATTACGACCCCCAGGGCCCAGGCCGCCCAGGCCAGGCGGCGGTACCTTTGCTCGCTTTTATATAATAATTGGAACAGGCCTCACAAGCATGGAAAGGGTTACGCAGGGGACGGATCAAATTGGGCCTGAGTTGTCGATGATGCCACTCACCTCGCAGAATATTTAGAACTCCGTATTAGGACTGGTAACTTAACACTGAAGTTTGTCGCACAAAACCACTGAGCTTGAGAGCACTGGACACTTTTCATAGAAATACTGGCATGGTATCCACTCACTTTTAAGAAAATTTAACTATTTCACAAGGTTACGAGGAACAAGAACTACGATGCGTTTCATTCAGGAGAGGAAACACTAATAAAATTACGTTGATGCAACTGAACTCACCTCAATTTAACAACGCTGCACACACTTTGGATCAGTTATTTATCTAAAACTCTGACGTATTCACTTTCAAAGCTTGAGGCACTATTATTTTCTTTCTTAAGAAAGTTTAGACTGAAGCGGATGTCTCCAGCAACACACTGCACAATTCGTATCACACTGGTAATCCTTGATGATCCACAAAATAAATCACAGCTTGATTTCCACCGAACTTGCTTGCTTGGCTTGGCTTGCTTGGCTTGCTCTCGATGGGTTGGGACGGGGTGGGAGTCCTATGTTACGATTCTATGGGGGTTCGTCGCCCTCGCGTCGCTCCCTTCACTCACTTCGTTAGCACTAGAGAAGTCTATTTCTCAACGCGGCGACGCGGTTATCCTCGTCGACGTAGCAGCCGCGGTGGAGGAAGCAGCAGGGTGGTGACGAAGCGGTGGAAGTGGTGGTCAAAGCAGCTAGCTGGGCTTGCACAGCTGAGCCAGGGCCAGCAGGCTTCGCCACGCCAGGCTATGCGTTGCAGCAGCAGGAGCAGGAGCAAGGAGCACAGCAATATCCTCACAGCACAACGCGGCCCCAGTGCTCAGACCTGACTGCCAGCGCGGGCTGAGCTGCCTGCTGGCTGGGCTGGGCTGTCTGGGTTCGGCCGCTAGCGCTAGCTCGGCTCGGGGCGCTACTGGACTCCGCCCTGCCGCAGCCCTCCCTCCCCCTGCCCCTGTCCCCCAGCGCCGACGCCGCCGACGACGCCCGAGCCGACCCGAACCCGAAGCGTCTCCCCCCACCCACCGAACCCGGCTCGCCTGTGCTGCTGCCAGCTCGGCCTGGCCGGCCCGGTCGTGGCGTTCGCGTAAGCAGCGTAAGCTCGCGCCAGGCGACCCCTCGGTTGGCTGCGGCGCTGGCTGCCAGCCGGGCTGGCCGGCTGGCGGCCGCCATGAAGAGGAGGAGGCCTCGTCCTGAGCCGAACGCGCAGCGAGCCGAACGCTGGCCGAACAACGGCCGAAGCGGGCCTGGAGGCGCAGGGTCTGTTCAGTGACGCGGTGCGGTGCGGTGCGGCAGCGGGGCAGCGCGGCGCCATGCCGTGCCGCGCCCACGGCGACGGCGTCCCCCCCCCCCACCCCCTCGCCCGCGGCGTCCCCCCCACCCCCTCGCCCCGCGGCGGCCGCCTCGCCGCGCCTCGCTCCCCGCGTCGCGCAGGGCCGATGCGACAGGCGGCGTGGCGGTGGGTGGCGGCGGCGGGCCCTCTGGGTGCCGGCGGCGACGTGCCGCGGTGCGCCGCGCTGCGCCTTGTGAACAGGGCCTGGGGCCTCCACTCTGCGTCGCTACGCCGCGCTGCTAGCCGCAGAGGCCGCCGGGGGCAGCACCGGTAGCGCACTCGCTGTCCCTCTCCCTCGCACTCCTTGGCGTCGCGCAGCGCGGCGCGACAAGGGCTTATCTGTCTGGCCGCCAGCCTGCCTCGCGCTAGCCGCCCCCGCCGCAGCGTGCAACCACCAGACAGATTCCGAGAGTCGCCTTCTGTCTCTCTCCCACTCAAGGGGCGTTCCATCTCGGTGCGAGAAAGACAGCGATAAGAGCGACTCTCGGAGTCAGTTGGCAGCGACACCACGCGGATGGCATTGGCGGCGGGATGGCCGTCGGGCAGGACACTGGCAGGACTGGCAGATGACAGGGCACGCCCCCGGGCACCCCGAGCTCGCCCCGTCGCTCCCTGCCAGCAACGGCCTGCGGACGGCCTGCCTTGGCGTGTCCAAGACTCGGCCAAGGGGGTGTGCTGGGGTGGAAAGGGGTTGGTTCAGGGTTCAGCTCGCAGAGGCCGACTCAGTTGGCCACGCGTTTGACCTGGGTTGACCAGTGGTGTACCCAGGGTTTTGACCTTCTGACTGGGATTTGACTTCTTATGAGGGTTTGACCTCTGACATGGCCTTTGACTGGGAGTTGACCTGCTTCAGGTTTGACCCCGGGAGGTTTCCTCACGAAAATGTGCGGCCACGCTGATTTTCCCGGCTTTCCCGAACAGGAAAACGGGCGCAATCGGGAACACAAAGCTCCCCGACAGCCACGCCTTCGGTTGCTTCGCTTCACGCCCCGCTGTGGCGCCTCGCCTCGCGCGGCCACGGCCTGGCCACGGCACCGCACCGGGCCGCCACCAAGAAGCCCTACAACCAGCATTGAATAAGCGAGGCAAGCGAGGCTGGGGGAGGCGCCAATCCGTTGCCTGCGTTCGCCCCGCCAGCACATCAACGGCCAAAAGGCCAAGGGCCTCCCCCCCTCCCCCCCAAAAAAACAACATAAATACACAGGCGAACTTTTCCGTCATAATACACCTCTGCGTTCTGGGTTGACAAAATGTAGAGTCCGGGGCACTCAGATCCGATATTACCACGATTATTACACGAAAGGATATAAATTAGGAACAAAAGCCGGTCTAGGTGTTTCTATGAGAAAACCAGGAGCACGCTGATTCAAAGTCCAAAACAAACCGTCATTTTCCATACAAAACGGCGAACCAACCAGTTCGTAGAGAGTTTCAACCACCCCATTCATTCATTTCCAAAGGCGCCACACCTCGCTCGAAACCAATAACAGAGGACCGGCGACGAAACGGAGCCGCAAGTTCAAACGCGCGGAGAAGTTGGTTCCGGCACCGTCAAATGCCCCTAACCTCGAAGGCCGGCTCGGCGCGGCAGGCAGCGCGGTCACGGCGGCAGACGTGCCGGGAGTGGGGCGGCGGCAAACTTGCGGCACTTAGACAGGAAGACACAAAAGGCGGGGTCGGTAGTGCAAACTTCAAAAAGAAAAAGAGAAAAAGTCCTCTAAGCCGTGCGGAAAAACTTACTTTTCCTGCACAGCCTGACTTGAATAAAACACTGGTTTAGGGCGTCGCGATTTAGATCACAGTTTTTTGTTTGCGTTAGTGGGTTTGCGCATCTGCTTGCACCAGAGGCCAGCGTTTCGTAACTTTGATTTCTCGTGTTTTTATTTTCCCTTCTCAGTCCTATTCGCACGAATTCCCAGTTTCTTTTGTTGGTGTTGATGTCCAGAACGCGGCGTGTGTGTGTGCCGGAGTGGCCGTCCGTCCTCACCAAGGCGGAGAAGGGCTCCTTCGCGAACGTCACAGTCGTCCGCGACGTCCTCACTGTAATTCCTCGTTGTCCTCGCGGAATGAGTGCCAAAGTCTGGAGGCTGATTCCAAACTGTGCTTTCGTCGTTCTGTCCCTCTCGCACCCTCACGGCGCGCCCAACGCGAGTGCGAGAGAGACACAGCAGCACCGTTCGGAATCAGCCCTCGGGGCCATCGCCGCCAAGGTGGCAAGGCGCAATGAAGTGAGACAGAGACAGAAAAACAAGTGAACGGCTGGGGGTAAACGGAATGGAGGAAAAAGTGGCTGGCTCCACCGTGGCTCCGCTGTGGCTCCGCTGCTTCAGGGCGCCTCGGTCGTTTCCCCCTCCATGCTCCATTTTAGCGATGGACCATTTGTTAAGGGCCTATTCCGTTCGCGGGCCACGGCGCCATCTCTAGGGGCTCTCCTGGTCTCATCTCGAACCGCAGAAAGTTCCTTTCATCCCACCGAATCGCCCCGCCGCCGCCGCCGCCGCGGCCACCGAGGCCGCCATCCAGGAGACTGACTCCGAGAGTCGTCGCTCTGTCTCTCTCGCACTCACGGGGCGTGCCGTGCAGGTGCGAGAGAGACAGAGCGACGACTCTCGGACGGCGGCATGGCGTCCGAGGAGTCCGAGCTGCGCGGAGGAAGAGGCACTGCGTCGCCGAGGACGATACGAGGGGGGCGTATAGCAAGGGCACTGGGAACGGAATAGAAAAATAGAAAATGAGGGGGAGGCGGGGAGGAGAGGTCTTTACAAGTCTTTAGAGGAGAAGTAAAGGGCGAGAGGGGGAGAGAGAGAGAGAGAGAGAGAGAGAGAGAGAGAGAGAGAGAGAGAGAGAGAGGAAGAAAGGGCGGCAAGCGAGACGGAGAATGCGAGGATACAGCAGAAGAAAGCGCGCGGCAGTGGCGGAACGGCCGGCAATGAAGCAGCAGGATAAGGGACACGTATACTGTAATGGAAAGGGAGAGAGAGAGACAGTAAAGGAGAGACAAAGGGCGCCCCGAATGGCCCAGAGTGCAGCACGGAGTGCGGGCCTGGCGTGCCGGGCCTGGCGGACCTCGCGGGCCGAGGCGCGGCGCGTAAATCAAAAGATTTCACAGCACGTCCTCGTCGCCGTCCTCACCGTCCTCACGCGTGACGTTGGGGCTGCTGCTGGGTCAAAGGTCTCGACCCCCGCCTGTCCAGCACACAGGGCAGGCTGCCCAGACCAAACGAGTGCACCTCCAGGCCAAACGACGATTTCTACACATTTGTTACCGTTTTGACAAAGTTTGCTGCAATACTGCTCCGAAACTAAGGCGGATAATCGCACTCCGTAACAAAGGTGTTCTAAAGGAAGGCCCAAAGAGTACCCACCCGTTGAGGGAGAACGATTAGCCACCTTAGATTAGATGCAGTGGCTGCCTAAAGTCAGGCCAAACGACGATTTCTACACATTTGTTACCGTTTCGGCAAACTTTGCGGCACTACCGCTCCCAAACTAAGGCGGCTAATCGCACTCCGTAACAAAGGTGTTCTAAAGGAAGGCCCAAAGAACACCCACCCGTTGAGGGAGAACGATTAGCCACCTTAGATTAGATGCAGTGGCTGCCTAAAGTCAGGCCAAACGACGATTTCTACACATTTGTTACCGTTTTGACAAAGTTTGCTGCAATACTGCTCCGAAACTAAGGCGGATAATCGCACTCCGTAACAAAGGTGTTCTAAAGGAAGGCCCAAAGAGTACCCACCCGTTGAGGGAGAACGATTAGCCACCTTAGATTAGATGCAGTGGCTGCCTAAAGTCAGGCCAAACGACGATTTCTACACATTTGTTACCGTTTCGGCAAACTTTGCGGCACTACCGCTCCCAAACTAAGGCGGATAATCGCACTCCGTAACAAAGGTGTTCTAAAGGAAGGCCCAAAGAGTACCCACGTGTTGAGGGAGAACGATTAGGCGCCTTAGATTAGATGCAGTGGCTGCCCAAAGTCATAAAATATGGAGCGAGCACGGGTTTAGCACAGCACGGATTCGGCTCGGAGGGTCACTAGGGCAGCATCTAGTCAGCTAGTCAGTCTGGTCCGAGTACAGCTCAAGGCCTATGCTCTCGGCGCTCGACCATCCCTGGAATCGACATGGCGAGTCCGCGTACAGCACGTATCTCGGTGGGATGATAACACGGATGAGAAATTGGATTCGGAAATTGCGTTACACTATACGTTGACACACTGTCTCTCTCCCCTTCTCTCTCCTCAGTATCACAGTGTTTCTGTAATGTCGTTACAGCCTCGTTGGTAAGACGTGGCCGCCTGCGACGAGGCCGTGGCGGCGATGGGGCCCACACTGTGAGTTTGCGGAGGCCAACAAGTGCACGGTCTTGGCTTGCCTTGCTGCTGTGCCCCAAGCCAGAACGTCCTCCGGGAAATGAGGGCGGCACTCGCTGTCTCTCTCGCACTCGCACCTTTGAACGGAGCGCCCCGTGAGTGCGAGAGAGACAGAGCGACGGGACGCGAATTGCTCTGCAGCGGCGGCGCGGCGCCGCTTCGACAAAGTGCCACAAATTAGACCCGCGGAATCGTGTCTTGAGGTGCCGCGGCCCAGT